AGTAGGATGGAGGCCATCGCTAGTAGGTTGGAGGCCATCGCTAGTAGATCGGAGGCCATCGCTAGTAGGTTGGAGGTCATCGCCAGTAGCTTGGATGCCATGCTAGTAGATTGGAGGCCATCGCTAGCAGGTTGGGGGCCATCGCTGGTAGATTGGAGGCCATCGCTAGTAGCTAGTAGGATGGAGGCCGTCGCTAGCAGGTTGGAGGTCATCGCCAGTAGCTTGCTAGTAGATTGGAGGCCATCGCTAGCAGGTTGGAGGCCATCGCTGGTAGGTTGAGTAGTTCGATCTATCAATACTGCCGAGGAGCGGTTCCGCGCAGGCCTGGGGCCGGGCCGCCAATCAAACATCAGGGAGGAAGCCTCGACGGGCCGCTGCCGCTGGGTGCATGATATACTGTATGTTTATTGTCTTTGTTCTGCAATTATACAAATATATTGATTTAATGTTTTTGATATATTCATATTCACCAACTATTGATTTGTTTATATTTATTTCATAATTAGGACAATAAATTTTATTGATTATCCTACAAAAAATATATGTGTAACAACTTTTGACAAACATATTTATATACAGTTCACATCCGCATAGACATGCATTCAATTCCCCGAACGATATTCTAGAAACAATAATTTCATCCGGATTGTTTTGGGGGAAACAAGAGCACTCTGAGGACGGTGTCCGGACGGTCAAACCTCTGCGTGCTGAGGTGCTTGAGGCTGCTCTGCTGGGCCCTCGGGATGCTCTGAGGCCACGTCTTCCGCCTTCTCCTGCGGAAACAAAAGCATAAGACCAGGACCCTGGTTTTGCATTTCAAAAATATGGGTTGATGTCAAAAAACGTAAATACATATATGTATCATGTTGCAGCATAGTCCCATAGAGGACCAAAATTCTTTTGGAATTCCGGATGCTTTGTCACACCCAGCAAGACCAGGCCACTCAAGTCCCAAATTTGAGGCTCCAATCCTGCTTGGTTGCTGATTCGGGCATCACCAAACAGGCCAGTCGCTCGTCACCAACTGCCCCTAATCGCCCAACACAGGCAATCGAGTTCCCCGTAGTGCTTAGTAGTGCTTAAGGACTCGCGCTGATAAGGGTTGAAAAAATATAATATATGTATCTATCTTCTATCCATCTATCTATCTATCTGTCTGTCTATCAATCTATCTATCTATGTTCTTTCACCTGTACAAACGAAACTTAGCAAGACAACAAGCAAGCAACAACAATAATGCAATTGCTCAACGTAAGGGTATGTAACGTATGTACTCAAAAGCACAGGTCTCCCAACCAAGCTCCAAAAGGATCTGCAGAATCTTTTTCTCTCAGGAGCTTGGAGTAGTGCATGGGTCTCCTGACCCCAGTCAGTTTCATCATACGGGCTTGAAGCGAGATCCAAAGTAAGGGTTTGTCAGGCAGAATCTCTCACCAGTGCCTGGAACACACCCGGCCAGGCCCCCTCAGGGCCACAGGCGCCTGGAAGGGGGCCAGGCGAGACAGGGTTAGAAGAACACCCACCGGATCCGTTCACGCGATCTTTGGGTGGGTCGTGTCATGAAAAAGCGTCTGCCGCCAGTAGGCGGGGTGCTAAAGAAAACTGCGAAAGATTTGCGGGCGTCTCCAGTCGGAGAGCTGAGTCAAAGCCTGGCCTGTAAAGTCAGGATGAGTGAGTTCTTCCGCCCAAGTGTTGTGTTCACGCCCAGGAATACTCACCACCGTGCGGGCTGCCAGGGGCTGCTGCATGAACTGCTTGACAACAGGAAGATCTCCTCCTCGGAGCAACCCACCAACAAGCGGCCCCTGGCAGCCCCCACGGTGGTGCATATTCTGGAGCAGTACGTTCCACTCAAGGCCATGGCCCGTGTCCATCTGCGAAGCCATTGCGTGGTCAAAGGACAATAGTTGCCAGAGGGGGATCGCTTTTCGCACAAGTGCAGTATCACGGCACTGGGCCAAAATGTCCTGGTCGGACATTTTGGTGACTTTTGTGAACATAAAACTTGCACACGCAAGCTAAATGCAACTGTGAATAATGACTGGTCTTTAAATAGTCTCAATCGTTTTTGAACGGATGTTACTGGATGATCGCAATGCTCTTTGGAACACACATATATCATATATCGCATATATATATATATATAGTTTATTTGGAGATGCAAGTACCAGCAAACTAGACATGTTACCTTCTTGGGTACCAACAGTGAGGGAATGGACAATGCACCCCGAAGTGTCCTCGCTAATCTTCTACTGGAGAGTGCAATTAGTTAAGTAATCTAGTGATCCTTGGGGAGACCAAATCAAAGACCATTGTCAGTCCATCAAACTTCGACAGATTACAATGTACTTGGCACCTCCAAAGGCTTCATTCAGTGGCCTTGGATTTCTTCTCACCTGGCTGCCTAGAGGGGTCTAAATTCTAAATGTCCAAATGATGAAAAAGAACGAACAAGAACCAACTGCTGCAGAACAACCGGACTGGAGCGGCTTCCCAAACATCTGTGTTGCCACGGCGTTCCCCTCCACCCGCGAACCGCGCCTGCGGCGACATCATGCCTTCGACCTCGTCCAAGGAGGCAGTCCGGTCCGACATCCGCGAGGGCCGCGAGGAGCGCCGTGAGGAGCGATGGTTGGGCGACGCCTGATGGAGCAAAATGACTGGCCATGAAGATGCGTTTGATGGCGCACCAGAAGAGCTCCTGAAGTCCATGTTGTTTGAAGATTCATGCATCGGAACTGCCCCCACACGTGGGGGGGCACAGCCAAAGACTTAGTGCAAAGCAAACAATCCTGAAGCTCAAGCTATAGGTTTCAAAGGAGCGACAAGTCGAATTCAAAGGAGTGCCGAGCCCTCCAGCGAAGTTCAAGGCTGACCATGGGAAAATTGAAAGTGGAGTTTGCCTCAAAAGTGGGGATGAAGGACAGGATGATACCTGGTGGAGTTCTGTCAGCTCTTACCAGATTGCGCCATCAGTTGAATTGTCCCCCAAAAGGCGTTGCCAGCTAGGTCACCATGTCACACAGCAACAATCAATCGCATGAAATTCCTGTCTGAAGCAAGCTATACGAGACTCACTATTGCTCATCCCTTCCCTTCCTCAAACTATTTACTAACATCTACCGTATCATCTACCTTCATCTCCTTTCAACAAAACTGTATTGACATGTTTTGACCACCTCGCACAAGAATCCGGAGCTCCATCCATCCACCTTCATCCTGTCATATAAAATCTAAACATCCGTTTCCCGGCGACCCCGGTTTCCCGGCCTCCTCAGGAGAGGACATCTCTGACGGCACCGACGGGGCCACTGACTCTGAAGGACCCCGATGGGCCAAATGATCCACGGTGCTTGAGAGCTCCTCCACCGGAGGGAGAAAACGGCGTGCGGTTCCGATGAGCGAACGCTGAGGGATTAGGAGATGAAGGATCTGAGGATGACCACATGAACAGGTATAGAGCAAACATTACAATAACACATATACATGCAGTGAACATCAATAAAGGAAGGGTCTGTGGGGATGGCTGCCCTATGGAGTTTATGAGCCTAGCATGGTTGGAACTCTTCTCTTGAACATGGATATCGTGCATGGATGGCTATGTAAACAGTAGTCCCCAATACAATAGGTCCAACTCAATAAGGTGTAGTACAGGAATCAACAATTAGATACGTTGTACGTCTCGTGTGTATATAATTATACATAATAACTTAACATAGAAAATTGGATTCACGGGTTCACTTGTTTAATGCAAACTAGGGGATCAAAATGAGAACTACAGCCATTAAAAATAGTTAGCGGAGGATCATATGCAACAATATTCAACACCGAGAGGGAAATGCGAATCTATTCAACATGCTATATCTTTGTGAGGAGGATTTTACAATTTCGCTCTTGACTTCACAAGGACCTCAAGACTATCCCAAGCCTTTTCGGAACTGCTCCGGTCATGGAGTCCTCACCACTTGTGGTTGCAATGCAACAGGAAATTTACGATCCGATTTCTGGTTCCTAACACCACGGTGCATGGAAAGGGCTCGTTTCAAACACCATGATCACTCGCATGAAAGGACCTGTTGCCGTGGATGATGATGATGATGATGCTGCTGCTGATGATGATGAGGAGGACGAGGATGGTTAACAAAAGCCTCTACCAAGAACCCCCTCATGCAGAACGGTTGCCACCTTGTTTTCCTCCACTGATTTGCTAGCCACACAATCGAAAAATAAAGAACAAAGCCGCAGGTGCCTTGCTACACGCATGTGGGAACATATGTTGCGTTCTTATGTCTTGCGAATATAACCTCCATGCATTCCAGCTCCAATATCCCTCTCCTCGAGTTTGGTGCTCAGCGCATTAAACTGGTACCAGGACCTGCAAGGCAGGCCGACCATCGACATTTAAGCATTTGGGAGGACCACTGAACCCCGCAGGCAACTCGGTGGGACTATGCTGATTTTCTTGGAGATCGTTCACAGCACCTTGTGGGCATCATCAATCTGAATTTGGAGTCTGATGGCCCGGGTCGGCTCCATTGGTGTCATACAAATAAGATCCATTAAGATTCTGCACGCATCTCAATCCATCGATTAGCGATGAGGTGCCAAACAACGCGGAGTCATGCCAAATGTCAAGCTCAGTAGAGCATGGTCTTTGCTGTTGAGGCGCACATTGAACCTGTAAGGGCCTTTTCCAATATGTTTTGACATGCAAGTTAGAATTTGTCCGTGGCAACTATTGCATCCAAGCACTACTCTGGACTCTACGTGCCGACATGGTCTCCTAGGGAAATCCTGCACCATCTCTTATCCAGGGTGGCCTGATCTGTATCCGCTATGCCACATGTGGCGAATGGGTGTCTGACCAGCTCGCACTCCTGTTTTTCTGCTGTTTGCGCACCCTTCCTATGGCCAGGGGCCCATGACCATGTTATCATCCTCAAACGATCCAGCTATATATATATATATACAAAAACACAAAACAATTAGCTCAAATGATCTAAACAATACCCTCACTTCCAAAGTGTTCTGAGTTCCACACTGTCTGTACAATTCGTCTTGCTGTTGCATGCCTCAGCCGTTTCAGACACACAAAACACAGGCCTATCTCAGAGGCCTTCCCAAATACAAACACTCAGACTTGTCATCATTAATCCTTGCGAAAACCATCTGCAATGATTCCTCATCAATCCAACAACAAATCAATGCAACACATGAATGATTGTAAACTGATTGACTAGTCTAATCTGACGAACGTTTCCGACATGTGTCACAACACCGCTCCGAGGTGCTCCGCAACATGTTGTACTTGATAAATCTCGGCGCCGTCTTGGACCTTGGACAAACCGCGCCGTCTGGTAATTTACGTAATGTTATCTACGACCCGACGTGGTGACTTACCCCATCGCGCAAGAACTTGACCCACCCCCATGGCACACCGCTTACCCCACGAATGTAAAAACTTACCCCTGCAGAACCTTCCAAATGGCATGCACATCAACACGTCCCTTTGCCGCCGTTTGGAATCTAGAAATTAAAGATTTCATTTGATGGAAAATGATGGAAACACACCAGCTATTCCCAGCAAACTCTCAACTATACAATCAAAAAACACCCTCATGGATCATTAGGTGTGATGATTGCCAAAACGCCAACGACTTCTTTGTCCTCACCCCAAAACGAAAAATGTATGCCTCTCGACTCTCCACCATCAGGTTCTCTTCGGTGTTAGTCAGTTTCACCCAGTGCATACGGTGGTGGGTCACACACTCTGGCCTGCTTGGCGCATGCCGAGTCACTCATGCACCCACCGGCTCAAGGGTGCAATGAACTCGTGCGCTTCTATGGATCCACTGCCATCTACATCGATCATTTCAAAGAGCTGCTGCAAATCCACCTGGTCGCTCAATGCAGCAACAGAGTGCGCATTTTCCACTCAGCAAAGCGAACTTTGTCTTTGTACATATATATATAAATATTTTATTACTCTTGTGGTCGTCGGAGGTTTTTGGGAGTATTGTAAAATTATCAGCAGATTAAAAATTGTTTCCGCCACCTGCCAGTGAGGTTGCTTAGATTCCAACAGTGCTGCTACTCCTATGTTTTTAAAACAGGTCGTTCTTTTCCTGCTATGATGTCATGACACAGTGAGTGCCAGCACACCATAGAGAGCGCCAGGTCAGGCTGGACACGCACGGACCTGCACACCACAGAGAGAGCCAAAGAAAGTGCCTAGTTGCGGCACGCAGTGTTTGCGCGACAGGCTTCGCACAACGCCTTCTCGGTAGGATGAACGAGGCAAGTCGGTCTTGCGCAAACTACATTAGTTCAATCATGGTGCACTGTTCTTGGCTCAATATTGATGACAATGATGACGACGACAACGATGATGATCATGATGATGATGAGCTGTGACACTTGAACTCATTGCACCTCGCAACCTTAGTTTGGACTTCGTTGTGCCCCTTTTAAAATTTCCAAGGACGATGGCAAGAAATTGGAAGACTGCGCAACGGTGTGGCCTTTAAAAGTAAGGCAGGTTTTGTGGCAGGAAATTGTAGATTTCGTGGCGAAGGAGAGGATGCCTGCAAAAACATACAAGCCGTGAAAAACACTATATTATAGACCAATACTGTTGAGTGGCCCCACGCTGCTTCTCCCAACTCCTTCCTTCCTTGCTCCCTTCCTTGCTGCCTTGGAGTCTGCCTTGGCTACTCAAGGACAAACAACAAATCCTTTGACCAAACACACCCTAAAACAAATGAACAAAGGAGGTTCCCCGGAGGAATGCATTTGTAGTGTCGGATGTGGCTGCTGAAGTGATGTTTTGTGAGTTCGTTCCGTTCTTGATTTCGGTTTGCAAACATTCCTACAGAATGTGGGCAAATGCTCAAGCCTGGCTGTTCAAGTCGAGAACGACAGTCAGTTTAAGAAATCAGAAGTCAGAAGTCGTCTTCAAGGAGATTTCACCACAAAGAGCACGGCATACCAAATTGATTTAGATGCCTGGCATCCAAGTAGACACTTTAAAAATGCATTTGGAAAAATCAATTTCTGACGTATCGTCCCTAGGCAATTGCATTTTTTCAGAGTGGGTACGTTTTGATTCGTTTAATGTATCTAAAATAACCTACAGCGCGCCTGTTGAATGTTTGCATCGCTGGCCGATGATGAGGCGTATGTGTTGAATGACACTGCTTGCGCGGCCACCAGGGAGTTTTTACCGTAAACAGGTTTCAACATAAGCTTTCAAAAACCATCACCACTGCTTAACACCGACCAGGTTGTCTCTTCCATGATTGCATACCTTGTGTTTTTTATACTTATAATTTAGTTATGAATGGGGCAACTAGACTTATATCCATAGTTATAACCATGATAAGTTGCGTAAGTTCTACGAAAAAGGCTTGGAACTTATCGTAGTTATATAGATACTTGTGCTAGTTATGTTAAAAATTATGCATACTTATAAGTACAACGTAAGTATGACGAAAAAAACAATGTTCTACTTATCCTACTTATGGGGATAGAGGTTTTGAGGGTTGTCTTGGCAGTTGGGCTCAAGCAAATATAGACTGTGGGAGCATTTTTGTGGGAGGCATGGAGACGCGCGCACGGCGACCTGTGCAAGACTACACGCACGCAGCGCATATGCTCAGCGAGGGAGTCTGGGCGCAGCTGCAACCGACATCTTGTACACCTTGGACGCCGTGGGCGTGCTGGTCTCTGAGGTGTATAAGCTTGAAGCCTCTATCGGGCTCATTGGGCCTATGTAGAGCACTTACTGGGCGCAAGAAAACGGAGTGCCCGGAATTGTGGGAAAATTGTGGGAAGACTTTGGGGAAGTAGATTGTGGGAAAGACCCTGCCAATTACCTTTAATAACGGAAATTGTGGGAAGATTGAAAAACAATGAAATCATTTGTGGGAAATTTGTGGGAAGACCGGGACGGGAAATATTGTTTTTTTTTGTCTTTTTTTTGGTGGTTTGGGGCTTCCGCGCCGCTCGTTTTTGTTGTTGTTTGTGTCATGTCTCCGACACCTCCGCAGAGCCGCAGAGATCTCTAAATATATATATATATATACACGGCCCCAGACAGACTGCCGCGGCCAAGTCCAGCCGCGCGCCGACCAGTGCACACGAACATATATATATGTGTATATATAAATACAGATGTCTTAAATATGCGGCTGCATCTGGTTGAAATTTACCAAAACACAGAAAGAAGCAAAACCTTCAAAAACACAACATGTTCTACTTACCGTCGCACTTGTGCTACTTATTCGGTAAGGTCCATAAGTATGATAAGTATACTTATGCTACATATAAGTATAAGTAGCGTAACAGGACTTATAAGTAAAAAAACACAAGGTACCACATATCGTTCGGCAAGGACATAGTTTCACATCTCAAGATCCCACACCCTACGATTTTGACTCTTCTTGACTCATGATATTCACAGAGAGGCTGCAACATTTGTTCAAGCCCTTCAAAGGCACTGTTTTTGAACCCCGCTTTCTGCCAGCAAATTTCCGCCGTTTCCCGGGTATTTCCGCCGTTTTTCCCGGACATTTTCGTGCCAGGTGTTTTCAACTTTGGACTGGTTTTACTCCGCATGTGCTCATTCCCCACAAGAAACCTTCAAAAACAACACACGTATATGATATGATGGTAGCCAGATTTCGAGGTGGAGGTGGAAACTAAATAAGTGTCGCCATTCATTGTTTTCTTAATGGAGGGACCGTTCCAGTGAGAAATGCACACTGTCAACCACAGAATATGTTCAACTCCACAGAGGAAAAATTTGCGGCCACACAAAGATTTCCGCGACAGTTAAATTCCGCCCCAGGACAGGAAGAGCCGCACTTCCCGAAAAAGCAGGAATTTTTGCCGAAATGATCTTCTAGGTATAGTTATGTATATGGCTTGGGTCGGCACCGAGGGCAGCCCATTTCAAATCATGTTTTGCTGGCTTGAAAGACTCTAAGACCGAAGGTGTATAGCTAGGACGATGGGAACTCATTCAACAACCCCTAGGCAAGAACTCTGGGCAAAGTGCAAGATTATCTCCTGACTGATTAGGACCCAGGAGTCAGCCTAGTTCATCGAAGGGATCTGCTCTGGCGGTGGAAGCAAATGCCACAATCAACACATCAACACAGGTCCATTCGAATCGGGTCCACTTGAAAGCACACTTTTGCCCAATCAAGGTATGAGAGGTGAGGAGGGTCATTTGATGTCATTTGTCCCAAAGGACAGGGGTTCTCGAGTCAGCTTCTCCGTCATTCCTTCTCCAACCAGAACCTACAGTTGATGAACCTGCACGTCGTGAGAAACTACTAAAACAAAAACGAACACTCCGACAATCCGCATCAGGAAATCTCCAGCTCTGCACAGCAAATCCGCATCCTTCGAACAAATCCGTCGGTGGATCGGACCTCATCGATGTCCATCACCCGCAAACGACTCTGAAACTCAGGGTCCTGTGGCGGTGCGCGAGGGCAATGAGCCGCTATGCTTGAGGAAGAAAATGCCAACAAACTGTCATTTGTTTGTGAAACCTTGCGAACAATCACCACCAGTTGTTCCATACTTGCAAACGGTTTAACGTGCGAAACATTTGTATAATGCTCCGTATATACTACTAGTAGGTATTCGTCTGCATTGTGCACTTCTCGTAGTACACATTCAAGGTCCAATGTTCACTTGCATCATTTGTGCCATTGGTCTTGAACGGGTTGATTGAATATACCAGCAGTCTGCGCTACCCACACCTTTGCTTTGAGTAGTTGGAAACACATGCGCGATGTCCATAGGAGCCCCAGAAGCAGTAACGGCTAAAGGTGCAAACAAGTGGTCAAGGGAAGTCTTACCCTATCTTTCAGCACTAGTCCAAGGAGAACATGCTGTCAACCAATGACATACTGTAAAAGACTGTAAGAACTTTCTAGCGCTTGGGTGGTAACAACGCCGCTAAGCCTGTTTTGATCAACACACCCTTGGATCTGGCCAAACCTGATGTCTGGGCCTCGGTGGAGACACCTACCACAACTACCACAACTTCAAAGCGACCTTGGCTAGCAAAGTGAAGAAGTGATCCTCATGAGGAAAGCGCAATGCAGCCACGTCTGACATGAGGAGATTGAGACCGGTGTGGTCTTGCTTCATTGCCAATCAATGCACCTACTAATGAAAAGTCTTCAGACTTCATAGTGATCTAGCAGCTACTACAAATAAGCCATGCAGGACTTATCAAATTAAAAAGCACACACTTATGGATATGCGTACTGACTTGACAGCGGTGCCACACGCCAGCCTAAGTAAAACCGCCTAAGGTTCCAGGTAAGTTTGAGGCCTCCAACGGTGGCGACAGGGTGACGACGGGTCGTGCAAATCCGTGGAGCTCCAAAGGTCCAAACACTCCAAGGTGAGTCGCCGCTGCATTAGCCGCTTACTGCACAACAAAGAATGAGACAGCTTTTGCCATACTTAGGTTTTCAAAGGCAGGTACACCAGGTTGATCAGACCTGGCTTCCCAGATGCAAGGTAGCTTTGTTAAGCGCAGTCCCTTGCGTCTGCTGCGCCCCCGTGCTGAAGAAAATGGACACAATTCAAAGGAATCCCTGTGACTACAAGGGGCACACACACACACACTATAGGTCACTAATGAGCAAAGTTCAGCAGAAAAAACATCTTCTGCATGCACACGGTTGCTCAAGAACAATGTTGTGCCTTTATTGGGTCACAAATTATGGTACTTCTACCACCGTCACCTGCATCCTCATCCGCTGCTCCCCCAGAACCACCAAGGGTTCTCCCCTCCTGGCGAGCTCCTTCCACCAGCTCTTCCAGTGTCAGCTCGCCGCTCCCGTCTTCGTCAATGCGCTCGAAGACCTTCTGGAGGAACTTCTTGTCGTTTTCGTGGTTCCGTTCCTCGGCGCGGCGCTCAGGGTGGCACCGCGGGGTCATCAGATGTAGTCAACCTCAAACGAAGCAGGTCAACGACGTGGCCAAACAGGAACACCTGCTAGCCTGCCAATGCCAGAATCGATGGCGAGCACTCAGCCGATCATGATGACATATGAGCAACAGCAACAGTGAACACCTCTTAGAGTCTACTTACCGCTAACGTCATTGAGCGGGGCGTATCGTTGTTTTTTGGATACTCTATCGCTTTTCATGGGTGTGGTGCCTTTCTACCCCTCTGTCACTTTGCAGCACCATCAATCGACTTCTGTTTGTGAGCTTCCCAAGCGGCCGGCCAATTCTAACTTGCGTTGAGCTATCATTATTGAATGAACACCGCACCCACATAGTTGAGTTCATCAAAGCTGGAGGAAAATTACTTTGTCTGGAGAGCATTCTTTGAATGGCCTTGTCAAGGCGCTTCTGGTGACTTGTTGTCAAGCACACCTCTTTACTCCATCCCACTGAGTCGTGCCTGTGACCCTACGTGGTCACCTGCCTTCCGGGGCCAACACGTGAAAGAACCTGGCATCGTTTGGGCGGTATCATTTGCAGCAGCAGGCGTTTGCCGACATTGTTGTCCAACAAGAGTACCTCAATGGGACAAGCTTCCCGTCCAGGTCTGCGACCAACCTTTAGCTCAACCGGATGAGCAATGGTCAAACCATGTCAAACCGAATGTACCGGGCGGTTGACCTGCGCCGAGTCACCATCTCCTCCGCCAGATTGAGCACGTCGCGCTCACGCGCCTGCCCGGGGGAAGATGTGGGAAATGTTCTCTTCCAGAGGCCGTGGCGATGCAAAGGATCAAAACAGATCAAAACCCTATGAACAAATGGAATAACAGGTATACGGATGTATACGGTATACTGCAATGAGTACTCATCTCTTATGCGAAACATGTCAAACGTCTTGCTAAGGTTCAAGGCTTCTGACAATCTGACCCAACTTTCGGTGGTCTGATCCTAGAGTCGAATCACGACATATTGCTCTTCCCAAGGCTTTCTAATTCTACCCTGATCAGATTACATAGTGGGAGAATCTGTGCCTCCGCGAAGGTATCGACGACCACGGCCACCTGGGCTTCTGTAAGGGCGCTTGTGAAGTGAAGGTGGAGAAGACTGCCAGGCAGCCTAGAAAGCTACAATAGCGATACTGTATACCTTATTTGGTCGATGATGCAGCTTGCAACGAGCCATCTAAATGGATCATGTTTCGTCCATCTCGCGAAAGCAAACGCTGGCATCTCCACACTTTCTCTCCAGGAAAAGAATCGATGGCAGTGTCGTAGTTAGCATTGACATGTTATATAACCTGTTTGTTCTGTACATGTTTCTTGAGCCTGCGACGCAAAGGCATCTTTTTCCCAGAGCGGCACCAGGATCTCCACTCACTCTTTCCGTCAAACGCCTTCTGGGGCCTTCCCTGGACCACTGCACTTCCACCATCTCCTTGCCATCTCCGCCGTGTTTAATCCGCTCAAATGGTCCATGTCTGAGGCGTCTGCACTGTGAGCGCCGACCAGTTCAGCTGCCGTGGTCAGTTGAGAGGTGTATGACGGGCGATCCAGTCATGGTCCATATGGTCAAGCTGTCTCGTTGTCTTCCAACCTGTTGGAGACAAGGTCTTGAAACAGGAAGCAACAGGATACAGCACTCCCTACCCTATTAGGCATTGCAGTAAACCGACCATATATAGGCAACCTAGTGTTCCCATGGCCATGCGTGATGGCCACAAGCGAGTGATTCCGGTTCCAAGGATACGATGAACTGGCATGGAAAGAGCTGAAGGAACTGAACAAATGAAAGCTTCTTGTTGCTAGTAGTAATGGCCTCCAACCTACTAGCGATGGCCTCCAACCTAATAGCTTCTAATGTTGCTAAACCAACCTGAAAGCCAAACAGGTGGAAAGGCTGCAGCATGACCCTGTGAAAGGACGAAGCCATCCATAATCATCGCTACACTGATCATTAGTACGTTCGAGGTTAAACACATTTGAATCACTTGAATATGTGAATTGTTGTTGTTGTGATCATAGTGGACTCTGTGCTTGTACCAGCAAGATCTGCTCTTTTTCTTGCCGTCCTCCGTGAAAGGACCGCATCACCTTTGATGCCCCAGGGTATCACGGCAGTTCCAACCGCCAGGCCGATGCTGGAGTTCCTGGTCTGTGGAGCCCACCCAAGCGGATGTGATCAAATGTGGTCATGGTGATGGGGAAACCAAAGGAATGTCTGACCGGGAGTCCCCCAAGTCTAAGATGTATCAATTGAGTCCAACTCTGATGAGTTGTCAGGAGAATGCCGTTCAAACATATACATACAAATACACAGCAAACAACTATTTTATGTATGATTATATATGTATGATCATTCGCAGGTCTGGACACAAAAGACTTGGGAGGCACCCCAAACGCAAAAGGACGTGAAGGACAATGATTGAGCAAGATCTGAGACACCAGTCTTGGGACCGAAGTCTGCAAAACAACAAAGAGAGTCATTGGCTATATCCTTTCTACATATTGCTACCATTTGCTAGCCACAAATCAACCCCCAAATGGCGAAGGAAAATCTGGTCCTAAGATGGGTCGCTTTTCACCTGCCAAAAAGGTTTGCTGCTGATGTTCCCTTCTGAATAGGGAGTCTAGGAGGGTTGCTTGATGCTGGACAAACCCGTGTGTATGGCTGAAGCGTTCAAGCTCCACAAAATTCAACACTTTGACATGGAAAAAAGACCAGATACAATTGCAATGAGGGCATGTGACATGTGATGATCTTTTCATAACACAAGTTCCATTATTTCAGAAATGAACAGCCTCTTGGTCACCCAGTGGCAGTGCGTAGGGCAAGTTGAAGTGCTTCAGCCACTTCGGATCACAACAGGTCACCATCAAATTGCGGCCCCAACGTTGCAAATAGTGAAAGCCCTTGTGATCCTGAAAACGAGTTGTTGTTGTCCCTCATCATGTTTTGCCAAAACGAAACTTGCGAAGCAAAACGAGTCGCTTTTCACTCGATTTGAGCCTGTGAGTTTGTGCGGTACACACTTGATTTGTGCGTGTCATGCACGAGTGACTATACTGGGCTCACATTCTATCACGGCCCTTTCACTCGTGCATCTACTGCAAAGCTCCAGATGCTCTGCATGCCGGTAATGCGGACAAGTTTCCTTAAAATGGATTTTCTTTCCGCTTTTGCATACCTTGTACATGAGACTTTGTCTCATCAGCTTCAGTCCATGTTCTGAAGCGAGGTGGGCTTCAGCAAAAGCCATGTTCCTCTGTTCCCTCACTTCTTGGACTGTTTGTTCCAACTCCTCGATATAGGTCTCGAGCTGGAACACCTTGGTTTTCAATTCTTCATTCTCTTCCTTGCATCTTGCCCATGCCTCAAGGTCCGCTTGGCAATTTACTTGTGTCTCTTTGTTCATCTTCTTGCTCCCATCTTGCGTGTAGTCTTTGATCTCCCGTACCACTGTCGCCATGATGGGAGTCATGTAGTTCCATGCCAGGCGGATCATCTTCTTGGGCACATGCTGCCGCAGCCAATTCATCAGGCCCAAGGCTCCAAATAGTGCGCAGCACCAAAGCATCATCCATTGGTATCCCTGTCCTTCATCATCTTCTTCTCCAATCTTGTTGCCGGCAGCTTGGTCCATCGTGGCCATCATCATCAGTAGCCCGATGTGAAAGTCTTTATTCTTCATCACTTTCTTCATTCCCTTTTTCATTTGCTCTCGGTGCTCGAGCTCCTTGTATTCTTCTTCGCCAACTCTTTCTCCACCATACTGGATCACCTTCAGCATGTAGAGCAACCCAAGCATGCGTCTCTTCGTCAAGGCCTTTTTGTGCCCAAATCTGCACAGTTGAGCTCGGTTGGAATAGGTCCGATGCTCAGAACCTTCTCTTTCTCCTTTTGTTGCACCCAAAGCAGCGAGGCATCAAGATGGCGTACACGTCCTATGCCTTGTCGTTGTACCATTGCCCTCGCAGCTGAGCCGTCAGGCCTCACCTTCATTTCGCACTTCTCCTCCGTGACCTTCTCCCACAGGTGCTTGACGAGCAATCCATCTGAGGATCCTGCTACCACAGCCACAAACTCTGACTCCCCGAAAGAAAAGAGATTGCCTTTTGTCCTCTGACTCTTGATTCCATCAAGTTGCCATCAATGAACACCTGGAAGGAAGTCGTGCTTCGATGGTCATTTCGGTCTCCGGCATAGTCAGCATCGGTCACTACTTCTAGGAGATGCTGATCTTTGTCCTCCACCTCATCTGAGTCCTTGACATTCATGACCGACTGACCTTTTGCTCTCGCTGAAACCCTCACTCCATATCCCTCTGTGTGTTGGAGGTATGAGCAAACATGCCAGGCTTTGTTCCATGCCTGCTTTGTGGGTCGAGCCATGAATCGTGCCAGGTTCTGGATGGCGAAGTGTGCATCAGGTCGTTCTCCAGCAAGATACATCAATCTTCCAACAACACTTCTGTATCTTGTCACCTCTGCTCCCTGGAGTTCCTCGCTGTCATCTCTCTTGCTATGGTTCTGCTCCATGGGAGTTTTCCTGTATGCTTTCTTGAAGAGGTCCATCTCTTTGCCCAGGCTTTCGTATTGTTTGTAGTCGCACCTGATGTCACACCAGTTCCTGTAGAGCGTGAAGTCTCTCTTCAATTAGGAAAATCTCTCTCCCATCAGGAACGGCCCTTTCTCCTCAATGTTCCACCTTTTCTTCATCTTCAGGAAGTCAACGAACTGTTTCAAGGCTCCTTCATCACCCACCATGAAGACATCGTCGACGTGCACTGTGATGTAGATCACCTTATGGATCATCAACAACGTGGGTTGCATGATGTCCTGCTCCATGCCGAATTCCTTGGCTGCGCCTGTGAACAGCTGGAACCATTGTGATGCAGCTGTCCGTTGCCCTGGCAGACATCTGATCAGCCTATAGACCTTGTCATCCACTTCAACACAGGCCTTTTCCTCCTCTGGTTGTGCAGCCATCAGGAATGCATCCTTGATGTCCAAGGTCATCTTTGGTATCACCAGCATCGACGTTGGGGCGAATGTTTGCTCCATGTCCACACTGGATTTGAACTGTCTTGCTACCAGTCTTGCCCTGCGAAACCATCCTCCGCGTTCGATCCTGTGCTTCCAACAGTAGACGAACTTCGTGGATATCAGGTAGCCTCCGTTGGTCTTCACTTCTTCTGCATTCACCTCCTCCATTACAGGGATGCTCACCATTCTGTCCACCTCGTTGTTCTTTGCCTCATAGTCCAACATCTTGAGGTGTTCATCAGTCGTTATGGGTGGTTCTTCATCTCCCATATCATCCACTTGTAGCTCTTCAATCACCTCCTCCGGCACCATGGCGTAGTCGAACTCCTCATCCCCATGGACTTCCACTGCTTGTATCCCTGCAAAATGCGGCGGGTACAGCCTTGCTACCTTTGCGGGTGATGATGAAGGTGACATCTGAGCTTCCTCATCTCTGGGCCTTGTATTATTCGAAGGTGCTCCTGCTTCTCCTGCTTCTTTCTCCTCCTGCACCTTCTGCTTCTTCTCAGTCTCAGCTTCTCGTTGAGCTTCCCTTTTCTCGTGGCCTTTTCTGGGTGACTCTGTCCTGTCTTGCCTCTTCTCCTCTGGCTCCTCAGCAATTGCTTCTTCTGCTGACCTCTTCGCCTTCGGTGTTGATGGCATCGGTGCTGGTGTTGAAGGTGCACCAATTGCCATGGCCGGTGTCTTTGGCTGTCCGTGCAGTCCTGGTGCTGGTGTCACCACTCCAGCTGCGATTGCCTCTGATATGGCCTTGAGTTCCTCTTCGGTTGCTTCTGCCTCTAACGTGGGCTGTCGATACCTTTGCGCCTGACCTCCATGCCTCATCAGAATCCCTTGTGGGGAGTAGCTCCACGGCAAGCCCTTGGCCACCACCATGTCTGTGGCCCTGAAGCTCTCTTCTGGTGCACACCTTCTGATTGTGCGTGACTCAAAGGCTCCCTCTGGGGTTAGGATCACATGTTGATCATTCCAGCAGTTCTTCCCAACCCAAATGCCGCGTTCAAAGGTGTCACTGGCTT